TCCATAAGGATTAAAACTTCCCTCTGTCAACTGGGAGCTTGTGCTCATACCCTTAAATCCTACTTGGAGCCTGAAGCCTGAAACTCAGCATTCACGAGTTCCTTCACCCAAGGTCACCTCTTAGGCCCAGTATCTTCACCTTGCTTTCCCATTGGCTATCTAGCTATGGAGCATTGACCTGGAGATTTGTGGGAGTCCTTCTGTCCAGGCACAGCCCATGACTAGTTGAATCCAGGCTAAATATCCACTTTCCTTCCCTCTTGACTGGGCAGTTCCCAGGCTTGTTTGGTACAGTGATTCAGAGGTACCATGTGCTGGGACCCCATTTCTCCCAACAGTAATGGTCAGGCCCACATTCTAGGTTGTTTTTTACCTGTCTCATTTCCTTTTGCCCTAGAAAAACTACTTGAGGCCAGGTATGGTGGTGTCCACCTGCAATCCCAGCTGTGGGAGACTATGTCAAGAGAATTGAACATTCTAGGTTAGCCTGGGCTACAGAGCAAGACCCTGGCTCAAAAATCAAATAGCCTACAACATCCAGAAAAGCGAGAGAGGCAGAGACAGAAAGACATCACACAGAGGCAAAGGGTGGTGGAGGGAGACCAAGCCTAAACAAAACAAACCTGTTTTTGCATTCTCAGGCCTTGCTCTTGTGTCAACAAAGATCTCCCCAGCCCAGCTAGGGATACTTACAGGTATAGGTCGTCAATGACAGACCAAAGTACAGATTCAGGCCAGGTGGTGGTGAGGCATGCCTTTAATCCCAGCACTCGGGAGGCAGAGACAGGCAGATCTTTGTGAGTTTCACACTAGCCTGGTCTATAGAGTGAGTTCCATGACAGCCTCCAAAGCTACACAGAGAAACCCTGTCTCCAAAAACCAAAAATAAATAAATAAAAAATATTCACCTAGGTGAAGCTTAGTGAACTGAAGAGTTTAATAGGAGCATTCTTGACTTAAGGCAGTTACATCAATGCGAAATCTCACCCCAGCATGGGTAAGGACTCCTGAAAACTGCATCCCTGTAGCCCTCCCTTGGTTCACATCCACATCCTATGTACCCCAGTGCTTCCCAGTACAATGTACAGCTGAGGCAGGGCAGGAGTGGTTGATGTAATGCCAAGTGAGTTTTTGTCCAACCCCAGGATGGAATGTCAACAGCCCTATCCCTATTACCATAAAGCAAGCTGTCACAGTGTGGGTCTGCTTTTCATTGCATGACTTCAGCTCCATGGTGGCCTATGGTCATATCAGGCCACAGGAAATGACTCTAGTTATGATGGCTACTGTGATGGGGGTAGACTGGCCCAAATGTAGTCAACATGTTAGTGTCCTGAAGGGAGGAGCCAAGGGACCTGTTGGCAACTGTGTGACTGTGTCAAGAAATGTTGGAGTTGCCAGAGCTAGGTAGTACCAGAAGAGTTAAAGCATTAACAGGCACATCACCTGCAGGCTTCTGTGGTGGTCCCACTGCAGTGCCTGGCATCACCCCATGTTGTTCTGAGGGCCTCACTGCATGTCGCTGGAGCTGGAGTGGGTGTTCTGCAACTGCCTCTCTTCATTGCTCATCAGCCTCTCTGCAGGGTAAGACATAGCTAAGAAACCATGTTTTGACACTTGGGGCATTTGGCCCAAGCTCAGCTATTTGGTTACAAAGAAGCCACAGAGCAAAAGGGATTCCCAGTGTGTTGTGGAGGCTGCAGAAACAGGAGGCCAAGGCATCATCTTAGGCAATCTCCCTTTGTTTCTCTGCTCCTTTGGGAAGTTCCTCCTCGCTTGCTATTACAGTTCCTTGTTTGGGGCTTGAGTGATGTCCCTGAGGGTTTTTTTTTAATCTGTGACTTTTCTCATCCCTATGTCAAAGTGCCTTCCAGAAGCAACTTAAAGGAGGAATGCTTGATTTTGAACCACACTTTTAGAAGTTATCATGGTGAGGAAGGCAAGGGGAAGTTGATAGAGGCAGGAGCAGGGGCCTGGCTCCTCACACTACCTCTGGAAGGAAGCAGAGAACAAAACAAAAATAATCTAGGAGTGGGGCTTAGGCTATGTCCCTCAAAGGCCTGCCCCTAGTGGCCTATCTGCCAGCATCTCCAAACATTGCATAGTCTCCCAGACAGCACCTCATAGAGGGGACACTTCACATTCAAACTGTAATGGGACATGGGGCACATGCAATATAGGAATTTCCCATTTGGGTCTGCAGGGGACTCCACTGCTGCAACCTTCAACAGGCTGGGGACTTGTGAGCCTGGAGCTGCAGTTGTCCCAATCTGGCCCCAGAGGAGAGTTTGGCTGGCTCTTGGGAAGAGTGGACAGGAGGTACAAGATCCCTGCTAACCATTATCCACACAGGACAGTCAGGACTACTGTCCCTCCCATGGTTTGGCCTTCTGATACACACACACACACACACACACACACACACACACACACACACACACACACACCCTTGATCAGGTATCCTGCCCTGGAGGTGTTTGGGAGAAGAGGTCATCGAGTGGCCCAGTACCAAGTGGAGAAAGGGTGAATGCTTTCTCAGGGACTCATGAGCTTCCCAGGCTGATAGAGCTAGAAGGGTCAAAGCCTTTAGGAGGTAGGGCCTGGCTGGCAGACATGAGTCTCCAAGAACAGATATTGAAGGGAATTTTTCCCACATTCTGGCTGTGCTGTCTGTCTGCTTTCTGATCTACTGAGAAGTCCCAGCTGAACTCTCCTCTGGGGCCAGATTGGGACAACTGCAGCTCCAGGCTCACAAGTCCCCAGCCTGTTGAAGGTTGCAGCAGTGGAGTCCCCTGCAGACCCAAATGGGAAATTCCTATATTGCATGTGCCCCATGTCCCATTACAGTGTGAATGTGAAGTGTCCCCTCTATGAGGTGCTGTCTGGGAGACTATGCAATGTTTGGAGATGCTGGCAGATAGGCCACTAGGGGCAGGTCTTTGAGGGACATAGTCTAAGCCCCACTTCTAGATTTTTTTGTTCTCTGCTTCCTTCCGGAGGCAGTGTGAGGAGCCCATGCTTCCAGGACCTCCCATGACACCTTCCCTCCCCTGAAGCAATGCCCAAACCAGCCCTTCTTCCCTTCAGTTGCTTCTCTGGTCACAGCTGTTGTGCTCACAGCTTCTCAAAAGTTTTTCACGCTCTGCACTCGTGTTCCCAGATATGGCTTCTAATGACGAAACTGGCTGAGTCCACCTGTAAGACCCCCTGGCCTGTGAGAGACTTTGGGAACTGTCTTGTCCAGTTCAAGGCAGGGAGGCCTCATGGACATTCAAAACCAGTCCTACTACTCAGCCTCTTCCTGAGCTCCACATCTCTTATGTAGTTCCTAATGCTATCCCACCATAGGCCATCTTGCTGCCAAGTATAAATGACAGAACTATAAAACTCTGTTTGAATGAGGTTTCAAAGAAGGAATAATCATTTAGAAATGACCTAATCACTGATTTAGGTTTTTGACAATCAAAAATGGATTTCTTCAGAGCAGAAATGGATCTTTACATTTCCTCTCTCCTTCTGCTTCTGTGGGGGCTGTCACTCCCAAATCTGCTTGCATCAGGGCTCAATGGTGTTTGGAATCCAGAGTAGTTTTCTGGAGACAGATGGCATTGATTTCGCATTTGTTCCACTGTGCCTGCCTCTCACAATGTATTAGCATCAGCTCCTGACACGCAGCTACAGAAGACATCAGAAACGATTTGATCTGTCACTTAAAAATTTTTTTGTGCTGGACCGAGTGGGCCAGGCCTGTAATCCCAGCTACTTTGGAAGTTGAAGCAGGAGGATCATAAGTTTAAGGCCTGCCTGGGCTACTGAGTTTAAGATCTGCCTGGGAAATACAGTGGGACCCTGTGTCACAATAAATAAGCTCAAGAGTGTGAGGGGTCTTGCCCTGCACACACAGCCCTGGACTCCATCCCAGTCTGAAAGATGCATTCTCTGCATGAGAAGAGTTAGAGGAAGTGGACTCTCATGGACTTTAGAGGGCCCATCTCTGGACTTAGCCCATCTCTGCTCCTCTCTGAGTGTGATCTTGTCTCTTTCCCTGGTATTTCTGACAACTGCTTTAGAAGCTCAGGATGAGGGGGAGATAGTGTGTGACTGTTACCTCTCAGTGTGCTATGAAGAGCATGCTGGCCTGGGGCTTCACAGGGTCATTGCTGCAGGTCCTTGCGACCTTGGGAAGTCATTGCTCCTCTTTGAGCCTCTGTTTCCCCAATGGTAAAAGGAGAGCTGTCTCTCTTCCTCACTTTTTCTTATGATCTAGGAGAAGGTAGAAGAGTATCTGGTACTCAGATACACATGAAGCAGGCTTTTCTTTTGGTAGTGGTAGGCAATGAATATTACATATGCAAGCATGTGCTCTACTGACTAGCCACACCCCCACATACCCCCCAAGTGCTGGAAATTGATCCCAGGGCCTTGTGTATGCAAAGCTGATGCTCTGCTACTGAGCAACATCTCTGGCTCAGAGTCTCACTGTAAATCTCAGGCTGGTTTTAAACTCAATATAGTTGAGGTTAGATTAGAAGTTGCTTTCCTCGTGTCCTGGTACGTTACCACACCTAGTTCCTGTAACTCCTCTGAAGTCACCCAGAAGAGGAAGTTGCTTGGAGCCATGTGTCCTTGAACAAACATCTGAGCAGTCAAGATACAGAAATCAAGTGGTCCATGGCCAGTGGAAGGTCTTTCAGGACATCCTGGTAGGATACACAGAATCTGAGTTGATGGCAGAGTAGAAGGTAACTTATTTTTAAATGACACCCTCAGACTGCAGGCCCCGAGTTATCACACCCATGTCTGTTCATAACAATAAGGTCTATGTTCCCATAGAAAGATTGATGACAGGGCTGGAGAGATGGCTCAGAGGCTAAGAGCACTAACTGCTCTTCCAGAGGTCCTGAGTTCAATTCCCAGCAACCACATGGTGGCTCACAATCACCCATAATGAAATCTGGTACCCTCTCCTGGCTTGCAGACATACATAGAGGCAGGATGTTGTATTCATAATAAATAAATAAAATCTTTTTTAAAAAAGAACATGTTATAAAAAAGAAAAAAGAAAGATTGATGACACTAAACTGTACAGGGACAACTGGAAATACCCACTGCAGAGAAGAACAGATGGGGGCCAGGCTGAATCCAGTCATTGTGTGAACTCAGGAGATGGGGGTGCTCCCTCCCCCAGGCTCCTCATCTGGGTGGCCTCTTGCTGTTCCTTCTGTCAGTTCTGTTCAGAGAAATCTGCAAATGCCATATCAGGCAGACATTGGAGGAAATCAGCCCAGACAGCAGACACTTATTCCTGCTTAGAAGGTCATGCAGTTCTAGCTGCAAGACTTACCCAAGATGCGGGATGCTGCTGACTGAACAGCCTCTACCAGGATGCCATCTCCTTTCCCTAACTTAAAGACTGGTTTGAAATAATGAGCATCACCAGAGTGGGAATCCCACCTTTCCTAAGCAACTCAGAGCTCCAGAGCCACAACAGTGGCTTCATCCATCTACCCAGGCATCTGCTATTTTGGTACCCAGAACTAAGCCTGCTGGGCCACATAGAGCCCATCTCCATGAATTTGCAGGAGATGCTGAGAATGGATTTATAATTCCAACAGGGTTTTGTCAGGCTCTGAGTAACTCTTACCTTCTTAATCATCTCAGTTCCTAGGGCCTTTGAGAACCTCTAGTGCCTTCTAGTCTGACATGTGGCTCCACCAAGGATAACCTTATGAATGAGCTCACAGCTCAACACAGAACCAGTTCCATTAATTGGTGCTTAAACCAAACAGCTCCTGTTTTCCACTAAAAATGTCCCAACAGGAAATTAGAGGCACTTCAGTTTTCTTTTCTGAAGTCCCAGAAATTGCTTTGGGCTCCATGGGAATTGGCTCTGCTTGTCACGAGGCTGTCCTATGTCAGTTTAGGGGCCCTCCCCTGCTAACTGCTGTACACATCTGTCACTTGTTTGGATGGGGTCCATGCAATTAACAAAAGAAAACTTGTGAATGAAAGTGTCCCAAAGCCCCAACTGGAAGGCCATGGAGGCTGCTTTGGCAGGGATGGTGCAGTTGGTAGAGAATTAAAAACACACTTATATCAAGCAATAAGGCAGTTGACTCAGTGACCAAAAGATTAAAGGTAAGATGTAGCATGTTCCAGAAGAGCTTTCTGTGTGCCATTCCTCTGGGCTCAACCCCCCCCCCCACTCCGTAGATGACATCTACTGTGTGGATGACATCTTTGTCTACAGGCTATTATCCAATCACATTAGTTGAACAGAGGGATAGGCCCCTTCACCAGCACATGTCAGAAAAACATCTTAGGTATGATGCCATCAACCAAATGAAGCCAAGCATCTGTGCCTGAACCTCTGTTAGGGTGGTGAATGTGGAAGGTCCTCCATAGGCTCATGTATCTGAACACTTGGTTTCCAGTTGGTGGTACTGTTTGGAGAGGTTATGGAGCCATAAATATATAGATGCCAGGAATGCAAAGTCTTGCTCCCCCCACACTTGCACAATAATCACTTTACAGAGAGACTCTCCCCAGCCCCAAGCAGGCATTGTCCTTTAAAAAGGCTGTAGATATGAAAGAGAGTTGAAAAGAAGTTGAAGGCCACTATGTACTAGGAGCCATTTGACTTCAGCTCATCTCCAGGGTGGATTTTTAGCATGCGGGGGCTACTGCATGGCAGGCAATTGGTTCTTGATGAGGGGTCCTCACCAGGTTTTATTTGCCAGGTGAGTGGGTCTCCTTATGCTTTGTGGACTCAGGATGCTAGCACTCTCTCATGCAGGGCATCCTTTGATTCCATCTTTTGTTACATTCTATGCTTACCTCCCACAACCCCCAATAGATTGTCCTTTTCAAGCTTTTCTTCTCCAATGCTCTACTTTGGTGTATAATAGTTTTCTTTTTAAGAATCAGGGGCTACTACATTGCCTGAATTTTTGTGATGAAAGACACCAGTATTTCGACTTTTCTATTTTAAGGAATACTGGAACCATATGTGACTTTCCCTTTGAGCTGTTTTCCACAGACTTTAGCATGAAGGGCTACTTGACACTTCCTCCTGCCTCTGCCCCTGCCTTGCCCTCCCTCTTTCCCCTTTCTTCTCACCCCTTCTTCATTCTCTCCCTCCGTTCTCATCCCCTTCCCCTCCACTGCCTTCCTCTCTACCCTGCTCTGACCTCTATGTTCTTCTCATCCCTTTTCCCCTCCCATATTTAATCCCCTCGCCTTCCTCTTCTCTTCTTCCTTCCTTCAATGTGGCCCCACCCACCACTCTCCTCCCCCTGCACCCCTTATCTTCTCTCAGTTTCTTTTTCCTTTTTTAATACTTCTAGAGTGAACTGGCAGTGAGATTGTCTTTAAAGATACACTCAATATGAATGTTTCTCATATTCCCTGAGCTCAGTTGTTATTTAAGATTGTCAGCCTGTTGAATTGCGCAAATGTGGAAGTGGGTGGCCCCAAATTTCAGCTTTCCACTTTCAGTGCCCTCAGTGGTTCGGTCATCCCTTGAACCGAAGCAGACTTAGGAGGAGTCTGAATCCAGGTAAGTCATGAGTCCTCCTTGCTTTCCTCTATGAGTGTGTTGAGTCATTTCCTACAGGCTGTAGGTCACATGTAAGGTACAGAGGGATGGGCTTCCAGGACAGCAGAAGGATGGAGGGAGCAAGAGCTTCTTCAGAGGGAGTGAGCTTCTGTTGCTCTGGCTGCCCCAGAGACAGAGGGATGACTAAGGTAAGGGGCAGAGAATATATGGAAGGAAGAGTCATGGAGTCAAGATGAGGTCAAGGAGAGTGAGGGCTCCGTGAGGTGCTGACAAAGGACACCTTTAGAAACAAGGGTGTGAATGCTGACGTTTACATAGAAACTTTAGAACAGTATCTCCTTCCCTATGGGGTGTCTTGGCCAGATCCCACTCTGCAAACTGCTTCCCACTGCTGCTCAAAAAGTTTACTGCAGTCCCTTTCCTGGGACATTGCCCGAAGCTGATTACATCTCCTCACAGCCCAAGATTGGCTCAAGGCAGGATTGAGAGGTGGGAAAGTTTGGGGAACACTGGAAGGGAAAAGAGACTTTCATCCAGGCTGACTGGCATGAAGGAACTTCTAGCCTGCCCTCGTGGAACAGGCCTGTAGTCCCAGCTGGAGACGAGGCAAGAGGATCACAGGATCAAGCCAAGCTTGGGTTACTTGGCCAGATCCTATCTTAAAAATGAAAACAAACGAACAAACAAACAGACAAATAAATAAATAAATGGCAAAGACAGCTGGGACACAGCTTAATGGTGGTGCCTTTGTCTAGATTGTGCTGGGCCCTAGGTTCAAGCCCCAGGACAGAAAACACAAAACATGAAATAATTTCAGCACAACTAAAAAAAGCAACAAAAATCAGTGAAGATTTTTTAATTCCTCTTGTGAATCACTTCAAGAAAAAAATGTTAAACTAGCAAGGAACTATATTTAAGGTCAAAACACAGGATGACCCTTGAGTTTGAACTTGCTCCCTTTTCATCTGTATAAACTTGCCATTTTCTGAGACTCTAATCAATAAGAAGATGAACCAAGATTATTCTGACCTATAGATAGCAAGAACTGCTCTGACTTTTTAAAAAATATTTACTTTTTAATTTTTATTTATGTGCACATGAGTGTAATACAGGTACCCAGAGCGTTCAGAAGAGGGCACCATAACCCCAGGAACTAGAGTTACCGGAGGCTGTGAACCACCTGACATGGGTGCTGGCAACAGAACTTGGGTCCTCTGGAAGAGCCACAAGTACTCTCAACCACTCTCCAGGCCTGACCTATGTGTCTTACTATCTTGTCAGCCTGCAAACTTGCACAGTATGCCTTATAAACCCCTTATAACCTCACTTACTAAACAAAATTTCCTTAGACATTTTAAAATCTTTTTTATTTAAATTAGAAACATGAATGCTTCAAATATCAATCCCAGCTCCCCCCTTCTCCCTCCACCAGCCCCACCCCACCCCCCACCCCCAGCCCAATCCCCACATCATTCCCCAGGGAGGGTGAGGCCCTCCTTGGGGGGATCTCCAGAGTCTGTCCTTAGACATTTTTTGTAATCTTTTTATGTAATCTTTTATTTCCTTTGAACTCAATAACTTCAAAAGTCACCAAAATCATATAGTTCTGTTAGGACACTCACACTTAACTGAGATTCTCTTGAAGCTTGTGCCTCAAGAGTGTGCACACCTGTCCTTTTGTTAGGTCTTGTATCCACTTCCTTTTCTGAAGTACTTAGCATTGAGTATAGGGCTTCATGCATGCTAGCTCTGCTACTGAACTATGTGTCGAACCACACACACACACACACACACACACTCACACACTTTTCTTAAAATTTTGAGATGGAGTATCACTAAGTTGCCTAGACTGGATTTGAACTTGTGATCCTCCTGCCTCACCCTTGTGAATACCTGGTATTAAATTCCAACTTTGCTTCATGGTGACTCATCCTGGAAATCCCTTGTGTGGCTTGAGTGAAGAAGCAGGAAACAGTTGACTGAGTTCTCAGGAGAACATCTCCACACTGCCAAGGGATCATGAGGACTGGCTACAGTCCTGAGAATCTGACTTTCAGCAAAGCCTCCCAAAGGTATGTGTACAAGTGGAGAAGGTCTGGTGTCCCATCTTAGTCCATGCAATGAGGACTGGGGATGGGGCAGGGATGCCCACAGAAGTTGTAATGATCTGGGCTCACACAGAGGACAGAGTTGGACTTCCTCAGGCCAGTCTTATGTAGACTTGTTGAGTGAATGAGAGACCATAGCTTTTTGGCCCCATCAAGCAATTTGTCTAGTCTCCCAGCAAGAAATAATCCTGATACCTATAGTAAGCAAGGCTGGACAGTAAATGGATGGTTGAATCACCAGGCTGGACTGTTGACTCCCTCTTTTCTCCAGACCTCAGGCTACATCAGTGGATGGACTGAGGGAGGTCCAAAAAATGACCACTTTGCTGTAAATGAACAGATTGGTTGATGACTGAGGCACAGAGAGAGCCTAGGATTAGGACTCTCAAGCAGGCATATCTTATTAAGCAGGTTTTCTTTAAGAATTACCCCTGCTTCTGAGGACATTACATTTCCCATGGCTTGTCACAGCACCCCCATTTGCTTAGGAAGCAAACTCTTTCTTCAAAGCTAAGCTTTCTCCAGGCCTATGGGATTAGTGCAAGGTTCAGATTAATAGGGCCCAAATTAATGTGATATATCGTCATGGCTTTCACAAGCTGTGCTCTACTTATTTAGTGACTCTTATTTTATTTTGTTTTCAGGGCCCAAATTTCGGAGACTTGGAGTTACAGTTGTGCCTGTAAACATATGAACACATTACAAAGTTCTGGAAAGCACACAGAACAGCTCTGTCGGAGTGTCAGCTCCATGCTAGGGTGAGTGTTGCCACCCTGATTTGGGGTGTAAAATAGCACACTTGAACAAAACTCAAGCATTCCAGTGCATTCAGTAGATGATACTTGGAAATCCCTCAGACATTGAAAGAATAAGACAGTAGATTGTCTGTGTGTTTCTGGTTTGACAGGCTCACAGAACTTGCCACCATATTGGTGCTACCAGTAAGATTTCCATGCAAGAAATGTGAGTAGCTGATCATCATTTCCTTCCTGGAGCATTTGTGGACACTGGCTGACATTCCAATATGGGTCACCTTTCAGCTTTCACGTTATCCATCAAGTATATGGTTTTGTGAGGCCCAGAGCAAGCCCACTGAGGAATTAAGGATTTTCACATTTGTCTTTAACTTTATTTCTGGGCTAATCTGGCATCAGAAAGAGGTCTCAGCATCGTTGGCTCCACAGGAGAGCCTGGTATCTCCCCTCACCCACTCCTCAGGAAACTGTCTTTCATGGTGCCATCTAACTCTAAACGATTATGTAATTACATTTGTGAATATAATCCTGCACAGCATTAGTCTAATTATAGCCCACAATCCCTTTCAGCTACACTCAGAGAAATAATTTGTGCAATGAAATGGGACTCCTCCAACTGCTGCAGTGTCTAGAACCTGGCCACACAGTCAGCTCTGCCTTCTTGAATCAAAAGCCTTCATGTTTTCTTAGGAAGAGATTCAGGAATCAAACCCCCAGAGCCACTCCTCAGGGATAGTCTCCAAACTTGACAAAATCCTTTGCTCCTAAAATGTTTATTTAGCAAAAACAATTGCTTATTCTACACCCAATAGCAGGAACTTTGAGTGGAATTTGTGGTATGTAAATTACACCTCAATAAACTTGTTAAAATAGAATAGTTACTAAGTTAATTATTATCAAAGACAGAAATGGAGGTTTCTTACAAGTAGGTGCACCAAGGGAGGGCATGTAAAATAACAGTGACCCAGAGGGCCCTGAATTTGATGGTGAATGAATCTTAGACTTAATTAGCAAGTATGTCAAATTTAAAAGGGGATAGGATTTTATATGATGAATTAAGCTGTTTCCTTTGTTTTCTCCATATATTTCCTCCCTCCCTCCCTCCCTTCCTCTTTTATCCCCCTTCTTCCTGTTCCTCTTCTCCTACTTCCTCAGCATCTGTTATTAATTTGAACTTACTTTTTGATATTGTATGAAATTTACTAGTCTTTTCTGAGCTACAGTTCCTAGAGATCAAAATTTGGTGGGCAGTATTAGAGACCTTATATAACATCAGACGTCCATGAGCCTCACCTTCCAGCACGGAACATTGAGAGTTCATGGTCTCCCCTAAAATTATGAAAGGTGAATCTCGTCTTCAGTGATCCAGCCCATGGTCGTGAGTGTGTGATACAGTAGCTTGTCCTGAGTTTCCCAAGGGCAAGACCACTGAGTCTCAGGTCTGCTCTTATCTGGGATGTACAGGAATTACTGAGCCCTTTACCATATGAAGTCTCACTACGCTGTGAACCCAAAGTCCCTGAACTGAGTTTTCTGGTCAGATTATTAGGTCTCAGTCACCGTCTTCTGCCTATTGGTGTTTTTGTAAAATAAAATTAATATTTAATCATTAATTATGCATTGGGCTTTCCAGAGAGGCAGAACCAATAGAATAATCATGCTGGAGCATATGAAAGAAGAATTGACTGAAGTAATCATGGATGCTAAGCAGATCGTCTGAAAGCTTGACACCCTGGGGTATAGGTCAAATGGTTCAGTCTGAGGTCAAGGTCTCACAACCAGGGAAACTGGGGAGTGCATCTCTCATTCTGAGGTTGCAGTTTGAGAACCCCAGGAGGTGTCCATTAAAGAGTCCAAAGGCTAGAAAGCTTATAGGTCTGACATTCAAGGACAGAAGAAGAGTGTGTTCCAGCATCAGGAAAGACCTCTGCTCACCTTTCTCTGTTTTCAATTCAGACTCTCCACCACTGAATGGCCCACACTGAAGGACCACATCCTCACTGCAACTCAGTCACCCAGATGAGGACCTCATGCAATCCAAATGGTGCTTCGTGAGTTTCATGAGTCCAGTCAGGGAGGCACCCAAAGTCAACCACCATGATTTACTACTGTGAATTCATCATTGTGTTATAATTGCTTCTCCTACTCAGATAACTGATTTGGGCCATTACAAGCTGTGGATGTTAGCTTTTGAATCTCATAGCTGAATTAAAAATGGAGAGGGAGTGGGGAGGAGATATATGCATATATAATATATAACATTTATTATATATTTATATATGTTAGGATCTTTCTGACTATCTTGGTTTCCTGTTTGTGGGTCACTCTCTGAAGGAAGTTTGGGGACATTCATGAATCCTTCTGCCTGATACAATGATGATTGGCTACCTCCATTTAATGTTTTACATAGAAAACACTTGTTTTTCTTTGGGAATGTGGTCCCTGGTAGGTTGTCCATGCTCCAGTGAATGTCCCCACACCTATGAGCATAAAACCAATATTAATTGGACTCAGTGGGTTATCAAAAACAAAAGAAAGAATGTAAAGACATGAAAATGATTTGGCAAATATGGTGACACCTGCCCTTAATTCTAGTACTACTGGAGGCTGAGGCATATGGACCTTTATGAGTTCCAGTCTAGCCTGATGTACATAGAAGTTTTAAGCTAATCATACTACTTAGCATGAGTCTGTCTAAAAAAAGACATTTTAAAAATAAAATACCCTACAACATTCATTTTAGTAAGGTTCTAAAAGTTAATAGGTTGTTACACTTTGTGAAAAAGTCTCGAAACAACTATGTTACTTTTTCCTTGCAAACTGACCACATGTAAATGAAGTGAGATTCTGGAAGTTTCTCCTTAAAGATTAAAACACAGGCCCAGTGTAGTGGCACAGACCTCTCCTTCCAACACTCACAAAGCTGGGGCAAAGGGATTTTAAATCCAAGGTCAGCCTGAGCTGCATCATGAGTTCAAACTAAACTACCTAGAGAGACCCTATCTAAGAAACAAAAACAAAAATCCTCAAAGAAACAAAACGATTTTCCTATCATTCGTGTACTTTTCAGAAATACTAAGTTATTTCATTTTATTCTTACCCAGTAAAGATATCAATGAAGGTTATGGATTTCCCCCCAGCACCTGCCTTTGGAGGGATGAAGCCATGCATTGGGGAGTGGCGATGGGGACACCCAGCTTTATTAACTCAGGGATTTTGCAGAGTACTTGTACCTAAATGATTAGGTTAGACCCCTAGATTGTGGGGCTGGAGACATGGCTCCATGAGTAAGAGCACTTGCTGCTATTGCAGATACCTGAGGTCTGCAATATGGTGAATGCCTCACAACCATCTGTACCTCCGCCTCTAGGGGATCTGATGCCTTCTTCTGGCCTCGGTGGGCACCTGCTCTCGTGTGTACCCCGCTATTATATATATATATATACATATATATACATATATATATATACACACACACACACACAAATATATGAAGTTGGAGACATAAACTAAGGGCACTTTCTCTTGCTGAGGATTAGGGTTCAATTCTCAGCACCCACATGGTGCCTTACCATTCTAGATAATGGTCTAGATAATAGGATGCCCTCTTTTGAGCTCTGCAGGTACCAGACACACATACTGACAAAACACTCACACACATAAAATAAAATAAATACATTTTAAAGAGTTTAAAAAATGATAAAAACTAAACCCTAAAAACCCTAAATATTTTTAAATGAGCATCAATTACTCACTTCTATTTTTCTTATGATAAAATGATATAACACTAGAAGTTGTGGGGGTTTATGCTTAGAAATAGATTTTATAACCGTATCACAGGTGCTAGAGCACTGTATGCATTTCCTGTAGGAAATCAGTCAGCCAGCCTGAAGTTCATTTTCTATGTTTATGTTCATTTTGGCTAAGTTATTCTCCCCAGTGCAGATGGGTGGATGGGTATGGGGGTGAAAGGAAACTATGTTTCTATACTCTATGGTGTTTGAGGTCTAGAGCATGACTTGACTGACCTTTCTCCCTTGGAAGTCTGTGTGGGGGAGACAGTGGAATCAGATGTTATGGAAAGGGTCCCGGCCTCACCATGGAGAGTCATCTGTGACTGGAGCATGGGGATGTGGACTAGCCAGGAGTTCATAGGGACCTCTGTAGGACAAATGTGGTGAGGAAGACCTCTCTCCAGTCTGAATGGCCTCTCCTGTGCCCCACGCTGCCTCTCTGGGGGCTGCTGAAGGTGAGAGAGGGCAATGCAGGGCACTTCCATAACACTCTGTATGCACTCTCAGATATGTCTTTGCCAGGGGCAGGTTGCAGAAGGGCTTGGCACCTTTCTCCTGAGTAGCTAGTCTGAGGGTGCCAGGCTGTTCAAAGAAACCTACTGAAAGTGGGAACCAGTCAGGTGTCCCTGGAGGACATCTTGTCAAATGCCAGCCACATCCCCAGGCTGCAGATGGGTGTGGGAAGATACTGGCTCTGGAGAGATAGCAGACTAATTCCCTGGTGCCCAGGGTCTCAATCTAGTCTTTCCAAGGCTCACTGTTCTGAGCTCCCCAGCCCCAGGAAGGGGACAGATTGGTGCTTAGCAGGTGCAGGCCCAGAAGAGACCTGTTAGCTCCTGCCTGCTCCCACTGCCTCCAGAACTGCCTCACATCAGCTTGTCCCTTCTTGTCATTTGTGCCAAGACCAGTCATTCCCATTACAGATCTTAATTGAAGTTTTCCAACATCTCTCTGCTGAGCCTGTCTTGGGGCCATGATGTGTGTCCATTTTGATGGGAGGCTCTAGCGAGGTGGTCTCCTCTTACCTCAACTTTGCCGTGTGTGAAATGGGCCTGCACAGATCTCCCCTTCTTCCACAGGATCATGTGTGATGGTTACTGAGATTGGATGTTGGAAGGAGTTATGGAGACATCAGGGTCTGAGCAATGCCAGAGAAAGCACCTTAGGACTTCATGGGCCTGACTGATGTCTTTGTATGTCACCTGTGCGTTCTTCTTGACCTATGGAGACTCCAGTTCTCTCAGCATGGTGCCATCCAAGTCCACTGTTGCTGAGAGCAACCAGACAGCATTTACTTAGATGGTAGAAGCCCCCAACTATCTTTTCCTAGAGTTTGAGATGCTCAGTGGCTTCTTCCCAGGAGTGCTGTGGGGGAAGCAATGGCTACTGGGAATGATTTTAGTGTATTTTAACTACCTTTTCCTTCTTGAGACATTTCCACAAATCTCACCTGATGCCAAGCTCTCTATTCTCTCACAGCCACCTGCCACCCTTAGTTTGTCACAGTCCTTGCTCAAGTCCTTCTCAGAGCAGTAAATTAGTTGTGGAGGCTGAGTCTGGGAAACACCATGATGGTTACTCCTTTCCCTGCTCTCCTCTGGGATGTCCTCACCTCACCTCCAAGACCCTTCCTGGCCCTGGACATAAATCAGGCTATCTCCCATTCATATGAAGGCAATTGTTATTTTCCTTGGGGTTGTCCCTTGTGAAATGGGGCAGAGAACAGCAGTGCTAGCCCAGCTGGGAGCTGAACCCTGCAGTGATGGCCAGGGTGGCTCCAGCACAGTCTTTCAGACCTTACCAGGAGAAGTCCCAGCTTGCAGACTGATTTCCCTATGAGCACTTTAAAATCCTTTTTACTCTTTTTTATTTTTAAATATTTATTTATTATATAGGTATTTTTCCTTTAGGTATGTCTATGAGCTATGTGTATTCCTGATACTGGTGGAGGCCAGAAAAGGGTATCAGATCCTTTGTAACTGGAATTACAGATGTTTTTGAGCAGCTATGAGTGCTAGGAATGAAACATAGGTCCTTTGGAAGAACAGCCAGTGCTCTTAACCTCTGAGCCATCTCTCTGCCCCTAAAATCCTTTTTAAATTAACTCATTGTACAGAACAGTGGGTTCCATTATGACATTTTCTTTAAAAATGATTTGCTTTCATCTTACATGTATTAATGCTTCGCCTGCATTAATACATATCACATGTGTGCAGTGCTCCCAGAGACCAGAAGAGGGCATCAGATTCCTTGGAACTGAAGACATCCATGAGTTCCCATTAAGTGATGGGAACTGACCCTGGGTTCTCTGCAAGGGCAGTATGTGTTCCTGATCACTGAGGCATCTCTCCGGTCCCCCATTATGACATTTCATATATGTAAATCATGCACTTTGATCATAGTTGTCCCTTTATCATGCTGTCTCTGATTCTTTCCCTCTTTCCAAGTAGTCCCATTTCTACTTTTGTGCTCACTCTCCCCACTTTTAAATAGGCTTCACAGTGAGATAAACCATTCAATATTTGTCTGAGTCTACCTTGTTTCACTTAACATGATGGCCTCTGGTTCCTTATGATAGATAAAATACCATTTTGTGCACGTAGCTCGTTGTCTTTCTCCACCCATCTCTTGATGGACAACCAGACATCTTGGTTATCGTGGATAGTTCTGGAGTACTAAGGTAGAGTGCAAGTGGGACAGTTTCCTCCTGATTGAGGTTGGTGGCTAAACTTTGGGTTCTGAGGGTGGTGACCTGCAGCTGTCTCTTTGTGAATTTCCATTGTGGAGAGGCTGTGACCTTGAATAGCAAACTCTATGGCACGTCATGGTCATCTGAAGTTCTGCTTTTAGTTTTTTATTTTATTTTTTGAGGAATCTTCCCATGATTTCCATAGTGGGTGAACCAGTTTTTAAGCTACCCTTGGGCTGCTGTGGTACAGAAAAATCCTGTTACCCAGGGAGAGCTTAAGTAATGCCCTGGATATTGTTGGGTCCTTGGTGAGTTGAGACCCAGGGCCACAGAGGGTGACAGAGATGATGCTATAGCCAAGCCCTGGAAAAGACAATGAAGAGGGATCAGAGGCCTGACCCCCAGTGTGGTATCTACTGGAGTGACAAGACACACACACACACACACACACTCACACACACACACACTCACACTCATACTCACACTCACACATACACACCTGATCTCAGACCTGAGAGCCTAGGTGGTCTGAGTTCAAATCCACTGGAACACTGAGATCCCTCTCCCT